CCTTCTCTGTTAAATGAGACTCATCAAACTTCTTTATTTTTTCTGGCTTTATTTGTATTTGGCTCAGTGATATGGATATAGATATACTGCTTCCAAGGTGACAGGCAGTGTTCTAATGCTACGCAAACCCTAGTTCATCTACTCCTCAAAACAAATCTATAAAGGGATGCTGTGATTTGCATTTTAGAAAAGAGAAGGCTGAGGCCCAGAGAAGCTAAATAAATTTCCCAGGTTCACAAGGGGCAGAGCAGAGGCAGGCAGCCTGGCTCCTGGATCAGTCCTCTTAACTGCCTCACTATGTTTCCTGCCCTTCTGCTGTGTTACTGCTCACTATTGAGAAGAGTCACTCCAGTGACACATATGGTGTGTGTAGATAACACCAGGCACAAAAGAGGCTCTCAGGAAATGTCAGTCGAGTGAGACACAGGTCTCTTTTTTTATGTATCAATAACCAGCGTCCTTCTTTCTTGCTCTGGCCCTGAGCCACTGTCTAGTCACCAAGATCCCACTGCATCTGGGAGTATGGGTCCCTGGTGAGTCTCTCTATTCCCTGGGACGTTTTTTTGGCTCTAGAATAGTGGGTGGAGGAATACCATCTCTTTAATAGCAAATGAGAAGTGCTGCCTTAATCTTGTTTGGTGATGTGCTGTGTGTTATTTTTGACTCACAAATGTCTAATAAAACTTGGGATGATGATACTTTCTTTTTCTGAATAAATGTACTAGTATTTACTGTAAGTATATATCTTATAGTATTGATCTGATCAACTGTGGTATTCTGAATGAATTTAATGTACAGTCATGTGCCACGTAACGACATTCTGGTCAACGATGGACCACATATATGACAGTGGTCCCATAAGATTAGTACCATATTGCCTAGATGTCTAGTAGGCTATACCATCTAGGTTTGTATAAGTACACGTTATGATGATCACACAACAATGAAATTGCCTAACGACACATTTATCAGAACATCTCCCCATTGTTACATGATGCAAGACTGTATTGAATTCCAAAAGCTCTTAAATTTCATTGATGTTCTGTTTCATATGAATTAAATATTGCCAAACACTATTGTTAATTTTTAAAAAATTCCTTAAAGAGGCTATTCCTTATAGTTTCTCTGAAGCAAAACTAATTCTACACTACTTCCTCCAAGTGACAAATGGCCCAGGAAATGATGAAGGCAAAACTCACTCTGGAGCAGGCTTGCAGGAGAGGTCACGTATATTTATTTTAGTCCACGTTTCACACAGAGTTGTTCAGGTCTCCCTTGCCCTGGAGGCAATGGATGCAAGCAGAGGGACATTATGCTGAAACTATGGCATCCTCTTTTTGTATATCTTAAAGTTTGATAGCTGAGCTCTGAATAGTGGGAAATACTACTATTTGAGGCCAAAAGGTCTATCTTAGGGTCTCAGCTCCACAAATGAACAACATAGCATGTTCAGGATCAGTGATGCATTCATTACAAAATGCAAGGAGTGAACACAAAGTTCTCTTTGCTCAGAGTTTCCCAAAGTACGGAGACCATTTAAATGAGCTTATTTTAATGTGCCTGAGGCAAAAAATGGTAGAATTGGTTTCTCAAACTTATAAAATTTCCACTCAAATTACAGTTTTAAGGGAAAAACATGAATGTAAGAAAGTACTGAAAGATATCTGGGGCTGGCCCGGGGGCTCAGCGGTTAAGTACACACATTCAGCTTTGGCGGCCAAGGGTTCGCTGGTTCAGATCCCAGGTGCGGACATGGCACCGCTTGGAAAGCCATGCTGTGGCAGGCATCCCACATATAAAGTGGACGAAGATGGGCACGAATGTTAGCTCAGGGCCAGTCTTCCTCAGCAAAAACGAGGAGGATTGGCAGCAGATGTTAGCTCAGGGCTAATCTTCCTCAAAAAGAAAAAGAAAGAAAAAAGACATGTAGTAGTGGAATCTTCCAATACAACTAAAATCTGATGACACAAATGCTGAAAGTTGGCAGATGAAACTAGATGGAGTCTCAGTTTTTTCATAGCCCTAATGCTATGTGAGACAAGGATATCCTCAGAAATTGAGCTCCCCTCCAGGGTGGTGGCAAATGGAAGTGTGTGCGTGTGTGTGTGTGTGTGTGCACGCACGCTATAAGAGAACTCTGATCACAGGTGCACAAAAGCTATAAACATGTTTTGTTGTTGTTTGGTTTTTTTGTTTGTTTTTTTGTTTGTAAGAACTCAGTCTCTGGAACTAGATATAGCTGCCTTCTGATTCTCAGTTCTGCCATTCACCAGCAATAGGATACTTAAACTTTATTTTATTCAGTTCTCTCACCTATTTATTGGGGATAGTAATTTTTCAAATTTTTTTTGTGAAGTACAAATGAGTCAAATACAAGTAAATTACTTCGCAGAGTGACTAGCATGTAGAGCTTAGAACAGTGTATCCATAAATACTCACATATGAAGAGGTCATGCAATTAGATTCTTCTCTAGTGAGAGCCTTCAGGCTGTTATTTTTTATACCTGTGGATGAAGAAAATTTATAAGAAGCAGCACATTTTCTTTTGAGCAATTGGATCATTCTTGCCCGATTGAAGAATGAACTTCATTATATTTTGGAGCCCGATTCCTATCATAAGTTGCTGAGGCATACCTCTTGATGATTAACATTAAAAGTTCAAAATAATAATTGGAATTAAAATGAATAGAAATCACATTTTAAGCTCAGAATGCAGCAGAGACTGCTATCAACAAGGCTGCTTTTATCTAGGGTCCAATTTCTCTTGTAATTAAGTTTCTTGAAAAAATAAGGTAACCTTTTAATTTTAATCTGATTGGAATAATAGACCTTTTTTCCATGAACAATTAAGCTGATGATGTTCCGTTTATAAATTGCTTTTGTGATGACATTTTCATAGGAATTTTTTAAAAGGCTTTCTAGTTTACCATTTAGAACAGAAAGATCTGTCAGCTGAAAATATCTTATAAATGACTTCCTCTGGGTGTATGATTATTTAGGATTAAATTTTGAGACTGAACATTTGTAATATGATGTCCTTGGGATCCATGCCCCCAAACCGTGTTTCAGAGAAGAGTTCATCACATTGTAAAGGCTAAAAACAAAATCCAGAACCATGCATATGTCTATGGTTGATCAACAGTAAACCCAGTTTTGTACATTAAAGAAAAATATTATTATGAAGATGCATCAATTCTGTGGGAGACCCCAAAAGTACCCTACTTGAGAAGTAATGTACTTGAGTGTTTCCGTAAACACTACTGCTTGCCTCACAGCTCACTGATTTTGGTCTTAGAACAAGCCTGTACGTTTGCATAGTAATTTCACAGTACAAAAAACTTATATAAATATATGTTCGTATATATTATACATTTCATCATTTGGAAATTATTTAGTATTGATGACTTTAAAGCAGGAGTTTTCTATTTTCCTCCAGTGATAAAATGTGCTGAAGAAGTATTACTAAATTAAAATTTGAAAATCCTAAAAAATGTTCCTGGAGGGTGATCACTTGTAATGATATTTACCTGTGTAATGTCAGTACCACCTGTTTGTGACTGTCTTCTAAGCTCCAGCAGGGCTATTTTTTTTCTTTAAAATAGTATTTCTGTCTAATAGCATAAACAAACCACTGGTTCATGCTTTTTCTGTGAAGGACCACACAGTAAATAGTTTAGGCTTTGTGGGCCATGCAGCCTCTGATGCCACCTGTAAGGCAGCCAGCATGTAAATAAACAAGCTTGGCTGTATTCCAGTTAGACCTTATGTGGACATTCAAATTTGATTTTATATAATTTTCACATGTAATTTAATAATATTTTTCTTTTTATTTCTTTTCAACCATTTAAGATGTGAGAACTATTCTTAGCTCTCAGGCCGTACAAAAACAGGTGGCCGCAGGCCGAGTTTGACCCGTTAGCTGTGGTGTGCAGACCTCTGACCAGAGGCTTGGAGCTGTCGTCTGTGCTTCATTGATTTACCCACATTCCATTTTTGGATGCCTTTGCCTGCTCAGCTTCTCTTTTTTTTTGTGAAACTGTAGTGTATCCTCAAGTAACTTCTACCTATGGATTCTAGATTATTCTGTCTGGAGTCGGTTAGAACAAAATCTCTTCCCTTTGCTATAGCCTAGGCCTTTAGAAGGTTGAAGAAAATCACTTGGACTTCTCTGTATCTTAATATTTCTTAAACTCTTCCAGATACTTATGTTCAATGGCTACTCTTTTTCTGTTTGCTCCTTAATTTTCTAATTATTCTTGGTAAAATGAACAAAAAGTAAACAGAAACTTTAAGTTATTGTCTGTCTAACGGAGAGCTCCATAGAATTTCTATTTCCAAAGATCTTTGTATGAAGCAACAGTGAAGTGTGATTATTGGTGGGGGGAGTGTTGATTTATTTTTTTGGTTTTTACTTGTTTTATTTCACTGTAAAGATGTCTTATATATAAATAATTGGATAATTCTGGTATTTTTTCCCATGCTTAATAGTCGTCAACACAAATAACCACACATGCTCACACATTTATTTAGTCCTTAATTTCTATAAACTGTACTTGCCCAATGTGGTTATTGAGAGAAAATAACAGTACAAAAAAAGTTTTTAAAAATGGAGAGAGACAATAGATAAATGTTATAAATCCATTTTCTTATCTGAGAGTGGAGTCTAATAAAGCTAACCAGAAAATAAGCTATTATATCAAAATAGTTCATCATCACCTTCCAAACAACTTTATTTACTTCATTCATTTTCCAAAGTTCCCCAATGGCACATTAATATCAATTCCCTACTTGATTCGGTTATGTTATGCCTTATTCGATCCAACAGGTGATAGAGCCACTTATGATATTAAAGAAACATGAGATATGAATTATAAGTAACACTGAATTTTTTGAGATGAACATAATTTTTACTTATATATTTCTGACTGTTGATATTAAAAATTGTTTTAAATTGAATCATCTTAAGAAAACAAAATTGACTTTTATCTTGTACTTCACAGGTTCTGGGTTGAATGATGGACAGTGGCATGAAGTTCGTTTCCTAGCTAAGGAAAATTTTGCCATTCTCACCATTGATGGTGATGAGGCTTCAGCCGTTCGAACTAATAGTCCTCTTCAAGTTAAAACAGGCGAGAAGTACTTTTTTGGAGGTAAGACTACCATTTTTTATTGGTTAACTAGTACATTGCTAACAATGGAGTTTCGATGAAGTTTGATTACAAAGTGTTTGATTCAATGGACTCAGTAGAAGTCAGGAAAAAAAAACATATTCTGTAATCTCATTGAGCTAAAAAGAGTGGCAAATTTATATTTCTTCATGATAAAGGTATTAATATGATATCACCATATTCTTCTTGTTCAATTCAAATATTCGAGATAGAAAGCATGAGATTCTGAATCCATTCATTCTCACAATATTATCCTCAATATTCAGCTTCTTGGATTGTGTATTAACCACCAATTGCTGTGTAACTAATTACCCCAAACTCTCATAGCTTAAAACAGCAAGGATTATTTCACAGTTACTCTAGATCAGGAATTCAGGAGCAGCTTCGCTGGGTGAATCTAACTCAGGTTCTCTCATGAGGTTATGCTATCCCCAAGGTCTTGGCCATGGCTGCACCATTTGAAGGGTGCATTAGACTTGACTGCATTAGAGCGTCTGCTTCCAGGAAGGCTCACTCACTCAGTTGACAGTTGGTGCTGGCTGTTGGCTGGGGTGCCTCAGTTCTCCTCCATGTGGCTCTGATTCTTCAGGGCCTCTCTTCCTCCAGTGGCCTCTGCTATAGGTGGTTGGGCTCAGAGAGAGATGGAGGAGGAGGGGAGGGGAAAGCCAATAATCAAGAGAGAAGTTTTCCAGGATGGAAGCCAAAGTTTTTTAATAATTCAGTCTTGGAAATGACATCCCATCCCTTCTGTGATATACAGTTTGCTGTAAGTGAATCACTCAATCCAGCTCGTACTTAAAGGAAGGGGATTACACAAGGATCCAGAGATTATTGGGATCATCTTAAAGACTGCCTACCATAGGATGCCTTACATGAGAAGCCATTTTATGACAAATATCTTGGTTCTTCAATAATGAAAAGATTACTAAAAGGGAAGATTTTATTGACCACAAATCCTGCTTTCTGTGAAAGAATGTTGTAGCATGGACCTGGCATATTGTCTAATTTAAGAAAAGCATCCTGGCCAAAAGTGATTTTTTTCTCAGTAATTAAATATGGGATATCTTTTATTAAAGTGCTAGGTTTTAGGTTAATATATCCTTCATTAGATTATTGCCTTTCTCATTCTAAATCATGCATGTGAGATATAAAAAAATACAGTGCATCCTTAGAAAAGGCTTTGGTTTAAGCTTTAAAAAACATATGTGCACAGATATTTGCCTCTGAAAAGATATCTTTTAATATCGACATATCTATTTATTTGTTTATATAAATATATTTTTCTATATCACTATATTTACATATTTTTCTAAATATTAGAATAAGTCTACTTGAGAGCTTGTATGCCTTTTTCCCTGCTGTATTTCTCAAGGTGCTAGAAAAATGCTCGGAATATAATAGATGAACAATAAATATTTATGAATGAATTAGTAAATTCTGAAAAATAGACAAGGCAAGCATTTTCTTTCCATTTGTCTACAAGAAGAAATGGAAGTCCTAGGAGCTTTACTGACTTGCCACTGAGTTTGTAGCCAGCACCTGAATTCCAGACCTCTGACTCCTGTACTAGGGTGTTTGTCCCCTTGGCATCATGATATGATGATGAGTGACAACTCAGACACAAAAGTCCTGACCTAGACCTCTGCTTCTTAACTCTTCCCTGGTGTTGTTGGAAACAACATGATTTTATAAAGGCTCTCAGTAAACATTTGATGAGTGGTTGAAAGTCAGACAAGATGTCTCATGAGTGAGTAAACTGGGGCTTGTTGATGTGAGAAAAAACAACCCAATAGCCAAAGTGGTTTTTCTCCAAAAATATATTTAATATAATGGGCTTTTGGCAAACAGTCTTCATTGCTGTTATAGAAAATGGATCACAATAGTCAGTTGGAAAGATATTGATAATCCCTACGTATCCAAATGACAGTGGAAAATCTTTGGCCATAAATGAGGTTACTGCCTAAGGTCAGTTTTGATTTATTTCTATCTAGAAGGGTAAGCAAATAGCTATAACTACAAATTTATGGCATAGAGCTTATAGGATATGAGCACTTTATAGTGTGCTATTTACTACTGCTTTACAGATTTTGGTTTTCAAACCCAGCAGTCAGGAGCATATTTTGTCCTCCTTGGGTCTTTGATCTACCATTGGGAAATGCTGTCGGCAAATGGTCATGATGCCTCTTTGGTTATATCTTCATTGGCTGAATCCTCAGAGTGTATGAGAATCACTAGGGGGACTTGTTACCATTCAGATTCCTAGACCCCACCCATAGAACATTAAAATGCAGGATGCTGAGAAATTGAAGAATTCTAAACTTCAGGTAATTCCAATACAAGTGATCTGAGGAACAGAATTATAGATCGATTTTTAGCCAATTTGCATGCACATCTTTTAGATTCTTTCTGAAAGAGAACATCAGCCACTGGAAAGTGAGGGGAATGAGAATTACCTACTCTTGTATAGCTTTGCCACCACAGAGCAGTGAAAGGAAGTCCCAGGCCAAGGTCTGGTGCACAGACAGACATTTATTAAATGAACGATTCTTAGCAAGTGGGCACAACACTGTTAATACAAATTCTTCTGTAAGATCAGTGAAGTCCTAGCTGTCTGACTTTCTATGTCTTAAATAAAATATTCTCTCCAGGCAGCTGTAGCAATATTCTAGAAGCTGGATTCAGCTGCACTCAGAGCCAGTGCCAGGCAACAGAAAGCCTCCTAAGCTGATGTCTGGCACAAGATCACTAAGTGATCCAGATTCCAGAACCATCTCCAAGGCTTCAGGTCACGGGCCTCACTGGAGTCTTATACTCTCTTCACACAGGCTGCAGGTATCTGTAAAAGATGTTTTGCCAAACTATACATCCTTAATATCTTTAATTTCACTCTTGAGATCTCTTTTCTAACATTTATCTAACATCCATGCTAATTAGCAAACCATGAATTTCACCAAAGAAAATCCAGTTTGGCATTCTGGAAGTTGATCAGAGGAAGAGATAGCACAAATCTTGGAGCAATCGCCTGTGCAGCGGCCACGGTGTTTGTGATATAATGCTCACCACGGCCTCTGGCATGTAGTTTCCAAATTAGAATGCTAGCTACCACTGGACTGTGAATTAAAACACACACACACGCACAGACGACTCCACACTGTCTGTGCTGAAAGCTTGAAGTTGAAGATATTTTAATGAAAACTTCTTAAGAAATATTGGCGTCGTGGAAAGAAGAACTGCCTTTGTCCTAAAACATGTGCTCTGAATCATGCGCCTCTGATGGTGGATGGTGGCTTCGCTTAGCTGATGATCATTTTAATAATTTCTCTTACTTTCTTCATCTTTTAAAAGGCAATGGAATCTGTTTTGCGAACATCACACAGCGTAACCTGGTAAACCCCGGGCCTCAGCCGAGGGAGCGCTAAATGCTGACTGCCTTTGCGAGTCAGCTGTAGTCTTTTTTTTTTTTTTTAACTCCCTCAGAGACAGAGCCTCCCAAGGAAGACTGGAGATTTCAAACCATGTGCTCATCTAAACCTCTCACCAGCTCCTCGACTACTCAAAGCATTTCTTCCTGTTAGTCAATACAAAACAAATTGTTTTCCCGCTAGCTGAATGCCCTCAGGAAGGACTTCCCTGCCCTCATGTTCCAGAAACCCCGTCAACAGTCCACGCTTTGTTTCTTTTGAAGTTGGGTCATGATCTGGCAGCTTCTCTCGCCGGTGCAGACCTGGCTGTTCTGGCTCCATCCTGCTCCCTACTGACCCCGGCAAGGTCTTCGTTCTCCTCTGTGACACCCATGAGCAGATGCTGAAGCACTAAGAATGCTTTTCTCTTGTTCCTTCTTAGCAATGAACAGAAAAAGAAAGAGAGTATTCATTTGGGATGTTTCCTCAGCAAAAGATAGTTTATCTGCGTTAACTTTTTTCCTACCTCCCAACTGGAATTCCTTGTGATAGCATTCCACTAATTTTAATAGGCAAAAGAATAATAAACACAATAATTAACATTATTTATTGACTGCTTCCCTGGTAATAGGCTTTCTTTGGTTTTTGTTGCTTTGTGGATGCATCACTTCCATCTCTGCCTCCATCTTCACAATCACCTTCTTCCATCTGTGTCTCTGTGTCCAAACTTCCCTTTTCTTATACCAGTCATCAGATTAGAATCCATTAGGTGATCAGATTATCATTTCATTTTAACTTGATTATGTCTGCAAGGACACTATTTCCAAATAAGGCCACATGTACAGATTCCAGAGGCTAGGACTTCAACATATCTTTCTAGAAGCCCATAAGAAGCTAAATGATTTGGTTTGAAGCTCCCTTTAATTAAAGTCACCATACTTCTTAAAGGAAATATGTATTTCTGGATTTATATTATCCATTCTCAAAAATGAATTTTATGGGAGTTAAAAGTCAAACAAATTTTGGGACATGTGGATGACTAAGGGTAGAGATATTCAAACAAAAAAACAAATACAATTACAAAGCACAAAATTAAATTACTGTGCACATTGGATAAAAACACCACTGCTAGCCAGATTTCTGAACATGGCTTTCTGACCTCTGAGCAGGACTGGGTATAGAACTTTAAGGAAATCAATAAAAAGAGATTTCTGAGGGAATTCTGTGCCCGCGCTTGGTAATGGAGAGTGAGAAGTTATCTCTGATAAATGTTAGAAAGCTTTGTGTAAACAAAACGAAACAAAACAAAAAACTGCAAATAATAATAAAAGGAATCATTGATATGAAAGTACATCTCGTGTCTCAGAAACCAACATTTGAAGTGAGAAGAAAAGAGCATACAGCTAGACTTTGTATTAGGATTCTCAGAGAAACAGAACCAGTATATATATATTGAGGAGACCGACTATAGAAATAGCTCACATGGTTCTGGGGGCCAGAAGTCCCACGATTTGCAATCTGTGAACTGGAGACCCAGGAAAGCCGGGGGTGTCATTCAGTTTGAGTCCCAAAGACTAAGAG